AGTAGTAGTGGCACCAGTAGTCATATAATGCACAAATGCACAGGAACTTCATGTTTTTACAGTTGCAGACAGTAGCTCATCCCTTTCAAAGGCAGCAGCATTACAATTGTCTACTTACTCATCACTCTGATTTTCATCTCCTTATTACATCATAAGCAATGAAGTGTTGATGGATGCATGTAACAGGGACTGGAGGATCAAAATCTCTCTTGTACTCTTTCCTACTGTCTTTTCTTCCTCCTCTCCTCTCCAGTCCATGGCACTGGTGACAGTCACTGTGTTTGTAAGGCTTGTGCATTCCCTGTGGTGAGCATTGGATCTGACTAAAGAGCTATCATAGGAGAATGTTGTGTTTATTTATTCTTATTGCTTGTAGTACAGGGATTATAGAGCCCAACCACAGAAGCAAAGGATGTTGAAGAGAGCTTTCTGCATTGCAGAGCAAAGCTCTGGAATAAAACTGTGTTGTTCAGTTGTTGGAGAAAAAACCGGGGTGATTAGAGAGGCAGGCAGGTGCCAAAAACTAGAGGAGTTCTGAGCACTACTGAAGAAATGCACTATCTTTGCAGGTCTGTTAGCAATGCTGAGACCCTCGTCAATGTTTTACCAAATAATTTTCTTTGAAAGACAAATTAGTGAAAAACAACTCCTAATGAAGGAAAATAAGCTTGTATTTCAACAGATGAATAGCAAGGTTTTCAAAACTTGATGCAGTAATCATGTCATTTATCATAGTTGATTGTTTTTTGCATCTAGGCCTGAAGTTAGGTTGCTACATGTGATTTGTATTAGTAATTGGAGTTCGTTGAGTATCAGTAATGTTTGGTGAAATGCAACTTTCAAAGAGAGTTTTTGTCATCTGATGTAAAAGTAAATTTCCCACTAGATGAGGAGAAGGAAGGAAGTAGGATTTACTCTAACAGTAATTGTAATCACAGTGATGTTTTGCAGGCATATGTTTGGAAGAATAATGTTTATATAAAAGCTTCACCAACAGGAGAACCTGTGCAAATCACTGCAAATGGAGAAGAAAATAAAATTTTCAATGGAATACCAGACTGGGTTTATGAAGGTAACTATATCAAGCATATTTTACTTTCCATTCTGATGTAAAAACTGTTCTATTGTAATTATTTTATTATAACTGTTATTTCTTATCATTGAAAAGTTCAAAATAACCTAAGTCTGTATTTTAACAGAAGCATGCATCCGTACCTGAGCTTAATACCTGGCTAGTTTGAAGATCTAAGAACAGAAATGAGTTCGCCTAACTTGCAGTGTGTCACTGGAAATCATAGTGTGTGAATTTGCTCCATATGATAGATTATAAGCGTTGATCTAACGTCTCATTTCAGAACCCCGACAAACAGTCTGCGCTTTGGTATCTGAACTTCAATTAAAAAAAAATATTAAAAACTAATGAGAACAGTACCTAGGATAGAAGAGCCAACTTATCAATTATAACTTAAACACATTTTCATCTCTTTCAGAGGAAATGTTTGGCACCCATTTTGCTCTGTGGTGGTCTCCAAATGGCAATTTTGTGGCATATGCAACATTTAACGATACAGAAGTTCCTCTTATAGAGTATTCCTTTTATTCTGAGGACACCTTGCAGTATCCAAAGACCATTAGAATCCCGTATCCCAAGGTCTGTGTTATTTATTAAACATGGTTGTTCTGCAGTTTCATTAAGAGAGTAGTCTCATTTAATCAGTTTCTGCTAATGAAAATATTGTCTGTCTCTCCTCAACAGCTTGCTGTGATTACTCTTTCTGAAGTCAACAGCATCTGGCAATGTTAAAGTATTTTATTATCTCCAGGGGAAAGCAAAAAGAAAAAAAAAAAAAAGTATGATTTAAGGCTTTGTTGTTTCACCAGAAAATTTTCAGGTGGCAAGTAGATGTTGAGATAGAAAAGCTCTTAGGGAATTGAAGTTGGTGTGAGAGTCAGAGTCCAGTACGCTCCAAACAGGTTCTTTCAGATACTCCACACATGGAGGGTTTAATATTTAATACAAGATTTACCTGTGTGAAGTTATTTGACGTTACACGGTGTTTCGATTTAGCAGAGCAGCGCAGCAATGCGCTTAAGACACAATGCAAGTACAAATTACACTTAGAGTACAACAATTGCACTATACTGCTGAATCGCAATACAAACGTGGCTCTCGTTGCTGGTCTCCATAATATGCTCAGTGCCACAATGCTGGGCATCCCCATTGCCGGGAAGGAATACATGGATTGAAACCAGGCCAGGTCAGAAAGATGTTTTCACCCTTTTGATTAACTGGGGCAGAACAGCTGATACAGCCAGCTGATCACTCAACTGATACAGCTGTTTGTCTGGTGTAAAAGCCGGCCTCCGGTCCTCTTTGTGCCAAGTTCAGCTTTCTGTGCAGCAGCCGTCGTCAGTCACTCCCTACCCTTCTCAAAGCTTCAGGAGCACATGGCCTTTGTCTGTCTCCTTGGAGCCTCCCCCAGAGGGGTCAGTGATGCTCACGGGGAGCCTCTGCAGGGACTCTGCCCTGAGTGTGACGTCTGTGAAGAGACGTGGGTGTAAAATGAACTGCCAATTTAAATTGCACCTTTTATTACAAACCCCTTTTATTTGCAATATTGCTGACTTCTGGAGATGGGTCAACTACAGCTACCTAACTGTTATGATGAGGACTTAGCTAGTTAACTTGTACTTCTAGAGAAGAAGCCCTTACTGACGTAGTTATATTGCTGTCAGTACCTGGTAGCACCACATGAAAAATAGTGGGGTATGTCCTGCAGTCACAGCTTTGATTGTTGTATCAGCAGCTATTATATGATCACTTAATCTAAGGTATTGGTTTCCATGAAAAAGCACTTTTCTGTCTGTTAGCAATGGATTTGATTCACTGTTAGATACTGTGTGTGGCATGTGGGACGAGATATGGTCAAATACTGCTTTGGGTACGGCAAGCCCTATGTATTTACAAATGTTTCTAAATGTAGTAGTCTTTCCTATCTAGAAATACATAACTAACACTTTCATATAAAAAAAATACAAAAGCATAATGTATCAATCTTAAGAACTGCATTTAGGAACTTGTCTTTTCACATATTTGAAGTTGGCAGGTTCTACCTGCCTGTCTGTAGTAATTTCTTCATCTATAGTTTCAAACACTTATTTCACCAAGAATATTCTCTTTTCAAAAGTACAATGAAAAATTTTATTTTTAGGCAGGAGCTAAAAATCCAACTGTGCAATTCTTTGTTGTGAATACCGAATTGCCTCCTCCTTTCCACTCTGTTGAAATTTCTCCACCTGCAGAAATAAAATCAGGGTAAGAAATTTTGATTAAATGTTTGCTTGTTTCTTTTGGTGGGAGAGGAGGAGCTTTTATGTGTGACCACCCTATATTCAGTGTATATGGCAGTTTTTCCCAGTCATGCGGCTCTGGTAGCAACAAGATTTACCAGAGAAAATCTGCACAGAGATTATCCTCCTAGTGATTATATATAGATGGCATATTCCATGTATGTTATATTCAGAATGTGACAAGTTCTTGGCTCATCACGCTCGGTGGAGTCTAACTATGGTGAAGTCATTTCACAGTACAACTTGAATATGAGCAAGTTTTGGTATAATCAAATTATAATATATGTATTCCAATTCACTGGGGGGGAAAAAACAAAACAAAACCTTAATGGTAAGCGAAGATTTGATTCCATTGGAAGCAAGACTCCTTGCTAAGGCAAGGCATCATGGTTGTCTTCAGATTTATACTTAAAATGTTTGTTTTCTTTGGAAACATGGTGAAAACCAGCACCTCTCGCAGAAAATGGAAAATTGTATTTCTCAGAATGCCACTGGAAATGCACAACATGATATAAATGTATTTTGTAAAGAGCAGCTAAATTGATTTAAAATGCATGCACACAGAATTTGGTATCCCAGATCTTGGGTTTTGTTTTTTCTTTTTAACAGTATTGTGGAAATTCTTAGAGGTTTGCACTTACACACATGATGGGTATGGAAGCACAGGTTATACTGATAAACTTCAGGAAAAACAAGAGAGGTCTGTCAGCTAGTGCGCAAACCCAGCATTTTGTACGTGGTGGCCAAAAAGCTATAACTGGAATATCCGTGCTATTCCGTTTCAGTCCTCAGTGCAGTGTAACTAACATCTCTGTGTTAACTGAGATATGGAAGTTTTTATGAATATGTTGTTCTTTACCCTTTCTCTACAGTAACACTGCAGTAGCTAGGTGTTACATAGCTGTTGTGTGCTGTTTTTCTCCAGAATTTCAGTGGCTCAGAATTATAAGCCCTTTATGTTTTGGTCAGTTCTGGTTCAGATCTCTGCTGTCTTAGAGTTATGTTTTACCTTTTGTTAACACCTAATGAAAGCTGAACAACGCTGCTGTGTGACCTGGAGAGAATAACTGTCATCTGTCTTCCAGCCTTGTACCCATCTGGCTAACACGAGCCTGAGTTACATGGACTTAATCCATTTTAAAATAAATGTAGCACTCTGTAAATCAGGATTAAATACAAAGATAAATCGAGTCTTGAATGATGAGTGCAAGGATCGAAACTTACTCTTTCTGCCAACGGCTGATCCAAATAATGGTTAAGCCTGAGCATGTGCATCCTGCAAACGTTGAGGTGGCCAGAACAAGTCTTGGGGAATTTCGCAAGAGCAAAACTACATGAGTAGGAAAAGGCAAGTGATGTGCAATGTTGCTGTTGGGTAGTTTTGCTCCTGGAAGCACAAGGTAATGAATAGTTGCACAGTATGTATATTTATACCACTGTATGACAGGAAAGGTTAATTTTTGTGGTGGAAAATTCTATTTTTACTTCCTTGGAGCTAAATTCTGAGCAAAACTAAGTTTGAATTGGTGACATACCTCAACCCACCTGCCTGGGTGGGGATTTTGAGGGGCAGTGCCCCTGCAAATGGTTGCCTGTAGCAGCACTATCCTGAGCCGCTTGCATGCGCAGCAGTTGTACCCCCACATTTGAAGGGGGCAGGCCGCACTTCTGTTTCAGAGTGAATGTTTTATCATTTGTCAAGAAAGGCTGCCAAAGTCTGGAATGGCAGTGCTTTGCCACGTAAGATGGTAGATGAAACCTGACGCTTGCACGAATGACCAGCCTGAAATCCATACCGCTATTAACATCACGGGTACAGGGGGCTCCTGTTGGCTAACAGGAGGATGAAGGCAATGGGTGCTTCTGGTCTGAAATGTTCTGTCCTAAAAATAAGTTGTCTTCAGAGTAGAGAGCTCCAGACAGTGATTGCAGGAATATCCCTTCTCAGCAGCAAATGAGGAAGGCAATGCAAAACTACTCTACTCTATACTTGAGTATATTGCAGCTTCCTTAACATTTCCTGGGTTGTTGAAAACTGAAGGTGCATTGCTAGTCTCTGTAATAAATTTAAAATATTTATTACTTTATAATAATAGCATAATAAATAATATTTTTTGAACTTGTACTGTCCATCTTGTCTGATAGATGATTTATAGTCTCCAGAATTGTTAACTTCTCTCAGTTTGAAGGAACAAAAACTGGGGGGCTAATTTCCCTTTTACAAAACAAGGGAAACCACTATTATAGGTACACGAAGAACGGCAGTTTCATTTTTTTTCCAAACAAGCTTCTGCAGAGTGCTTTTATAATAATATTGGTCTAAAATACACTGTTTGAAGCTAGTGACAGTAGCAATTAAATGACCTACCAACTTCCCAGTCAAATATGAATGTGAAAATAGACCTTTTTTAAACATGATTTCTAAACTGCAATCTAGAAATAAACCTGAAAGTGGTCGGTAACCAGTTGGCATATATTTTTAATCCATCCACACTAATTGTAGTGTTTTCTCCCTCCACCGCCTCCCCCCCCCCCCAATCCCACACATATTCCCTCTCATTTTACCAGCCCCCCCCCCCCCCCCCCCCAATCACGAACATATTCACTCTCATCACAAAACTTCCCACACATTTTTGTTAACTAACTTTGGGGAAAAAGGGAACATGAACTTGGAACTAAGTCAAATGTGCAAATTCCAGTTAAAAATGTATACTTGCCTTGGAGGGGAGGTTTGTTTTATTTTAGTTCGTAAGGCTTCTAGGAGATAGGATAGATCTAAAATAAGAAAAGACGAGTACATCTAACAGATCGTAATGGTAAACAGAACCACTAAAATTTATGTGGTGCCTTTTTAAAATTAATATACAGGAATATTCATGAAAATAATATTTTTTTTCAGATACTCCAATTCTTCATGTCAACTAGTTGGTATTTTGAAGATGAAAGTAAAGTATTCAGATAGTAATACCTGTTCTTGGTACAATCTCTCCCTCCATTCTAACTAATGGAAATAAATACTAAATTGAACAAAGGCATGTATCACTTGGAAAGTGCTTACAGGCAACCAACTTCATGCAGCTAAGGTTAAAATTCCAAAATCTAAGGCCCATAGAACTTAATATTCAGAAGAATTTCCTCTAGATGCACATGGCACAAGATTTATGAACAGTCTGGAGTAGCTATTACTTTGTGCATTAGAGGATAGTGATCTGTCTGTTAGAATTTAATTGCAGTCTTTCTGGAAGCGGGTATGTACATACTGTCTAATTCTTTATTGTATGAATGAAAATAACCGAGGCATCTACCAGCAGCAAAAACAATTGGCAAAAAAAAGGCACAATTAGGTTTGCATCATTGTTTATTGTTGAAGAGTAGATTGAAATGAAAATAGCCAGATGAGTCTCATTCAGTGAATTGCTGAATGCTATTGTATAGTATGCTGTTGCAGAGAGGATTTTAAGTATCTAACGCTATTGCTGTTTTCAGGGATCATTATTTGAGTGTTGTAACATGGGTGACAGATGAAAGGATCTGTCTGCAATGGCTGAGAAGAATTCAGAATTTTTCAGTCCTCACAGTCTGTGACTTTGAAAATGCTACTGGAAATTGGTCATGTCCACGGGTAAGAAAAATTATGTGGGAGAGTTGTAATGCTTGATAAATGAAACTAGAAAGGAGTAGAGTATCTCTGTATGTTTATCTTTGTAGAAACATAGCCTGATGTAAAATAAACATAATTGTTGTGGGATTGTTTGTTTTTTCTTTCTTAGGAAAAACAACTTACAGAAGAAAGTACAACTGGCTGGATTGGCAGAGTGAGTGTTCAATTTCTAAAAGTGCCACATGCTAAATAACACTGATAATTAAGAAAATTTCATATGAGCCTCTTAACGGTTGCAGTGCCTCTTGTGTGCAGGTCTGATCTATTCACTTGTTGCATTTTACATGTATAGGAAAAAATGGTCTCAAATGGAGCCACTATGCCACCCCGCTCCTGGTTTTAAGCTTTTGTGGGTATGGGGTTCTGAACTGCCAGGCTGGGCTGACAGTGCAGCGTGGCTGGAGCTGTAACTGCGTCCTCCGGGACCTGTGCGTCATGTTCAGCTTGCCAAAAAGCAGAGCACTCCTTCCAGACTCCTTTTTAATTCTGACCTACTGCTTCAGTAGCGGTAGGTGGGGGAGTGCAGAAGCCAGGATTCAGAAATCCCTTTGTTCGGGGGGAGTTGTCAGCTGTGCTGGTTTGGCTGCTCTCCAGTCTTCCTGCCACCTCCAGAATGATCTAGGTGATGAAATGTATTAAGAAGTGTATCCTATAGCCTTTGAATTGTATTGGAGTAAAGGCATAGAGGACAAAAGTAATTTTTAGCGTTTCAGGTTGCAACAAACCATTCCAGGTTTTCCTTGGGGATTTATTTATCCCCCCCCCGAATATCCATTGGAGAGAGCTAGGGAGAAGATGCATGTAGCTGACCAGTTTAAAATTTTCATATGCTTCTACCAAACCCATCACTACTGTCTGGATGATGCTTTCCAAGCTGCCTCTCAGTCCTTTTGTACATGGTAGGGAGTAGGCACCTAATGAACTACACAGAAGATCTGGGGGAAGTGAAGCAGAGATGCAAAAGTTCAGACTTGGAGGGAGAAATGAGTTTCAGAGTTTTTGATGAGAACACAGAGTACACTTTCCACTCCCGCATTTTCCACACACTGATTATGCTTTAGTCACTAATTCACTTTTGAAGTCAAAAATGAAAGTTTAAAGAAATGCAAAGAGGGAGGCAACAGCAGGGATGAAATCATCCGCAGTATGAAGATGAGAGATCAACCCACCTGCTGTCAAATTTGATATGGAAAGGAAGGCCTTAACGCTGACACATTTTGCTTCTCTGCAGCAAAGGCTTCACAATTAGACAATGTGATGATCAAGCTGCAGACTTTGTAAACAGTTGTGCAAAATGAGAGGGCAAAATGCGAGTCTGTGCCATTAAACTAGGTTGTTGGTTTTTTGTTTCTTTTAAAGAGACAACCCACATCTTAAGAGCTGTTGGAAGAAAAAGATAATCTCACTGTATGATTCCTGAATTTGAGAAGGGAGTAGAAAGTAGGGAGGATTGAAGAGGGGATAGAAAGGTTATATTTATTCTTTTCTTTTATTCTTAGCTACTTACGGATGATTACACTTGACTGGTAAGGGATATTTTTTTGTGTATATATATATGTGTGTGTGTGTATATGAGAGATGTATATATACACATACATATGTATATACAATTCATATACGTGTATAAACAAACTTAAGTGAATTATATGTGTGTAAAATATAGACATATACTTCTCTCTTTGTATATATCTATAGTGTTGTTTTTTTTTTTTCAAAAATAGATATGAAATTATACTTAATCTAAGAATGCTCAGAACAGCCTGTGTTACTGCATAAGGCTTCCAGGTCATGAGCTAAGTTAGAGCTTGCCAGTTGAGTTGAAGGAAAGTCACACTTTGAAAAAGCAAGACTGTGATAAGGGAGAAGCTAGCAAAATATTTGCCAGGTTATTTTTTGCAAAAATATTGCTAGGGAAGACGGAGAGATTATCTGGAGCACATGGGTTATGGAGACAAGTTCTGTCATGGCTTGCCGAGTGACCAGAAGGAAGTCACTTCATCTTTCTGTTTCACTTTCCATTTCAAAAATAGGTATAACATCTTAGAGATCTTGTGTTGTGTCAGTTGGCTAATTAATGTTTAGATGTTTTGGACATGTATCACAGAAATAACTTTTTTTTCATTCAGCTCAATTTCATTCCTCTATTTTTCTCTCTACCACGTGGAGCACATGCAAATGACAGTCAGTAGAAGGAATCCATTCATTTCTGTCACTCCCAATTGATAAATGGATAGTTCCTTCATGAAAATATCATTCCAGTTTGGGTTCTCCGGCATTCTGTAATCGCCTACTTACTACAAAAAAATTCCTCTTGGAAACCAACTTGTTTTCTTTGAAAATGGGGGAAATTTTTCACTGTGAAGCTAAAAAAAAAAAAAAAATTCAGAGTTCAAAGAATTTTTTCACAAGTATGTGTTTTAAAATGGGAAATTCCAGGAAAACATGTATTTGCAATGTTTACATTGCTATAGGTTGAAGCTGTATGTTGGCGTTGGAGAGAATAAATCAGTGACTTTAAAAGTAAATGCACATATTGTTTCCTAAAATGGTAGGAAACCAGGAACACCTGTAGGACTTCACATTCAAGCGAGGTGGGAGTGGACGTCGGTCATTACCAGGGCCGATACTCAGGAAATTCTGCTGCTTAAGGATCCAGAAAATATTTCAAGTGTGTTTACTTTTAGGGTAATGGCTACAGGTTCTACCTTCTAAGTCAGTAGGCAAAAATTTTTAGAGTATGTTCGGTGATGCGTTGTGGTAAGTATTGAAACTCCTGTTTAGAGATATCAAAATCTAAATTCATCATTTTGGTTTTGGAGTTTTGTTGTTTGCTTTAACAGACATCTCTCTTGTGTTCAAGTTTCAGCCATCTACCCCTCACTTTGCACCCGACAGTGCTACCTACTACAAAGTCTTCAGCAATACAGTAGGTTACAAGCACATCCATTACATAAACGGCTCGCAGGTAAGTAATAAGGCATAGGACAGTCACTGCTGACTTGTGTTTCTGCTGGTGATTGAGGAGCTTCACATTCTGCTTTTTTGCCTTGCCTTTTTTCCCCCCCTCCAGGCTCCAGTACCTGTTACTGCAGGAAAGTGGGAAGTTATCAGCATAGCAGCTGTAACCGATAACTTTTTGTAAGTATTGTAATTAAGGTATTGATTCCTATCAGGAGGGCTTGTAACAAGGGTCTAAGCAAGCAGGGAGGGAGAAGAGGGAGAAGGTGTCATTTAACTCATTAAAAATCTGATCTAAACATGTAAGATAATCCTTTAAATATTGTAATGTGCTGTAAGCATTTTACCAAAACCAGTATGTTTTGCTTTTATAGATACTACATTAGTAATGAAAACGGTGGAAAACCAGGAGGAAGAAATCTTTATAAGTAAGAAATTTTTACTGCAGTATGAGTAAAATATTTGTTAATGAAAAAGAAATTTTAAGAAAAAGCATTGCAAAATAAAAATATTAGGATGTTTATAGTCTAATGTGGGATCCTAGATAGGGTATTTAATTAAAATCAGTGTAGGAGTATAAACTGTAGAAACAACTAAAATATTTTTCTGTAAATTGAGTTAATAAAGGGAGATTGTGAAAAGAAACAACCAGTCCTCAAGCAACAGACCCCTAAGGAAAGCCTTTCATGCTTTTCTTTTGCTATGATTATAATTCCAGTATTAATTGAACTCAAAATTTTGAAGTCTGCTTTCTCTATTTTTAAAATCAATAAGGTCTCCTGAATTTTATCGTATTTCATTCAGTCATCTTATTTAAAAAGCATACATTTGTTTAGCATAGTTTTTTTTTTTAAAAAAAAAAAGGAAGTCTTTCATCTCTGAAATGAAGCTCGTCTACTTTGCAGAGTGCTCTTGGAAAGCAGTCCAAATTCTACTAAATGTGTTAGCTGTGATCTGAATCAAGAAAGATGCCAGTATTATTCTGTGTCCTTCAGCAAAGACGCACAATATTATCAGCTAGTTTGTCGTGGTGAGTATATCTGGAATTATTTGACATAAACATGACTCACTGATTAGTTGGGTGGGGAAGTTCACTTTGTCAAATCTTGATATGACCTGTGTAACAATGATATGTGTTGATATTGTTGGATAAATGCATTGGCAGTGGAAAAACATGCTCCCTCCTAGGCTTACAAGCACCTTGATAAAAATTACAACGGTAAAATTTGATAATTCTACCTGTCAGTGGACCTGAAAGAGATGCAAAATGCTCCAGTCTGCTGTGCATCTCCTCAAGAGCTGCACGGGGAGCTCTGTCTGTTGAAGGAATTTGGAGGCTAAGGGAACAAGGCGAGCAACAGGCTGGGTAAAAAGAAGTATTCTATGTGTGGGAATAAAACTAAGATAGATAATGCTGCCAAAAAAAATCCAGTGAACATAATCTTAAGTTAAGCAGTGGGACTGTAGTCTGACTCTGACCTGTAAGTGCTTGTGCTAGATGGTACAAGGGATAAATTAATCAAAGGGTGGGAAAAATAAAATCTTCTCGAAAATTTCCCTTAAATTGAAATGTATGTTGTTTTTTAAGATGCCAAGATCTTCTTTAATCTATGGGCTAGAAGGACAGACAGCAAAGAGGGGATTGTTCTGTCAGGTTGTAAAAATGGTGGTTTGAAGAAGACTGCTGTGGTCCCTGTGACAAGGCTTACTGATTTCCAAACCATGGTCCACAGCTGACGGGTAGACTTTGCTCAAAAGTGGGAGTTCGATTCTTCAGTACCTCACAATCATGTGGCTCGCCTGTGAGACAGTCTGAGTATTTTATGGCATCCTCTGGCTTGAGTTTGGGCCCTACTAATTTAAAATCCGGCTTGTGCAGACTGGAGGGAAACGAGTTCTGAGCTTTTATGATTTACCCACTTCCAGTTGCTTTACGAGGGTTGTGTTTTGAGCCAGCAGGCAAACATGAAGGTTTCGTGCTTTATTAACAGGTCCTGGCCTGCCCATATCTACTCTGCACAGAAGCAGTGATGATCAAGGTATGGGATTGTCTTAAAATATAATTTGTGTTGCACTGTAAATTTATTTTAATTTTGTTCTCGTTGCTTAGTATAATAATTAAAGAGTCAGTTATAAAGGGTCAATTTAATTTCAGATAATTACTCTAGTATAGTTAACCAGAAGAATAAATTATATAGCTTGGCATATGTTTATTCATAGTTTATTTAATATTATTTTTACATTGTGCTAGAAAACAGTGAGTAATGCATGATTTATTTACTGGATAATTGTTCAGTTTTTCTGAAATGGCATTTAGATGAAAAACGGGGAACCCAGCTTTCTGGTTACTAAATTACTGAAGGAAAACTGTATTGTAAACATTGAATCTGAGAGGAAAACCAAAAACTGCAGTAAACAAAGACTGCAGTGTAGGTTGCCATCATCTCAGATTGAATTTTTAAAGAGTTTCATGATTAAAGAGCAATGCATTTGAAAATGTCTTTAATCTTTGACTCTTACTAACTCTCTCATTCAGTCCTCAGATACTTGGAAAATAACACTGAACTGGAAAATTCATTGAAAGATATTCAGATGCCTTCAAAAAAAATTGGCTCCATTACTGTAGGTGGATACAGTAAGTTCAAAAACATGTTTTACCTTTCTCTCCTCCTTTCACCAAGTGCTTCAAGGTCTTCTGCTGAAAGCATGACAGAAAAGATGGGTGTAGTGGGGATTATTGCAGTTATTCAGCACTTCGAGGCAAGACGAGATTTTTTTTTTTTTGGACATCTCCAAATCAAGGTCTTCTGCTGAAAGCATGACAGAAAAGATGGGTGTAGTGGGGATTATTGCAGTTATTCAGCACTTCGAGGCAAGACGAGATTTTTTTTTTTTTGGACATCTCCAAACATTCTGGGTTTTTTTTCTGAAATCCCAAAATATTCTTACCTAAAATACGCTTTTTCCCTAGTGTGATATCGTGATGTTTTCATGATAAAGTGGCTTAACTCCTTTCTTCCTTGGTAATTACCTGAAAAACAGAAGTCCCTAATGCCACATTAAATAAATAAATAAGAGGAATGGGGGGTGAGGCACAAAGCTCATAAGCATCCGTTGAATTTAAATTAAATTATAAATTCAAGTAGGTCTAAAACCAAAGGGACTTGTACCTGTAAGTTGCATTAGTAGGTTGGAACAGTGGAGGAGAAGCTTACCTACTATCAAAAAACGGACACAGAATCTAAATGGAAAAGTTTGCAAAATCATTTAGGCTACATTTCAACAAGATCATTTTTGACTTTGTGTAGGGGAATATTTGCATTGAATAATCACATTCTTAAAAGCACGTTCACGCTGCAACACTACATAAACCTCTGAATACAGACTAGAACGAAATGCTAGAAAATGAACTGCTAATGCTTTGCTAGTGGTGGTCCTGTGAATTCGCACATCTGGGTACAGAAGCTTTCTTGGTGTGCTGCTAGGCTAAGGAACATCAGATAGACCAGCAGTGGGAGGCCTGGTACCTGTGTAAACTGTTCTTGCTCCAGCCTTTACTACTAGCTTTTCTTTTAATGACAAACTTCCTCCTGATAATATGAATGAATATTCTTAATGAAATTATATTTTACAAACTGTATTGAGTTCTGTCAGTCACCATTAACTGTTCTTTTTTTATGCCTCCCTCCTTCCACTGTTACCCTATTTTTATAATAACTCTCTTTATCTTTGTGTTTTCTGTCTTCTATTTCTGTCACATTTTTACTAGGGCTAAAGATGAAATCTTCCAGGCAAGATGGAGGTTTAAAGATGTTCTTCGTGCTATCAGTTATATATTCATCTTTTTATTCCTCTTTGTTCTTACTACTTCATCTCTTCAGGGTAAAAGTTTTTGGGTAAGGGGAATCTGTTTTTCGTGTCATAAACAGGAGAGAGAAATCCATTTATGTAGTGCTACTTCAAGTTCCAAGTCCACTCACAAATCCATGTATGTTACCAAAGACGAAATCTGCTCCTGTGACTATACAGTACACAGATTATGCAGAAAACTAAAATTCGTATTTTCTTCTGTTCAATTTAGATTGTTAATTTTTCAGTGTTTTAATGCCTTGCATAGTCATACCTGGACAAATTTCTGTAAGACTTGCACTCTGGCTATTGCTGTGGTGCAGTCCATCAGCATTATTTCATGCTTCTTTTGCAGCATCAGTTCTTTTAAAATTCATGAGTGAATAATTGAGCCAATTGGTTTGCAAAACTTAGATGGTGTGCATTTAAAATGTTCAGCTAACTCTCAGCCAACTTGGGTGGAAAGAGTAACATGGATGGAACTGGAATCAGTGTTGCTTGGGAAATAATAGATATTTGGATATGTTTCTGGGTGCTTTACAAACTCTCATGCAGAGCCTATCTGACAGGTTCAAAATATTTAAAATTGCTTTTTAGTGCTGGGAGAGAAATTTGAGTAGAGGAACGTTTTTGAGCTAGTGTCAGATTTACCACTGTAGAGACTTACCAAGTTTTACATGTAAGCTTATAATGTAGAATAATGTTACAAGACAGCATGTTGAGTCCCCAAATTTTATTATTATTATTGTAGACATTCCAGTTCCAGACTTTCTGCTAACTTAGCTGTAAAACATTAAAAAAAAATACTAGATTAGCTAGGAACTTTTACATGTATATATTAGGACAGTTCAGATGAAACTGCTTCTTAATTTTTAGGGGGTGACTCAAATGTGCTCCTGTATGAATTGCAACGCATGTCGAATTCTTTCACTGCAGAACTGACTTAAGTCAAACTCTTTTCACTTTTAGACCTGTGGTATCAAATGATATTGCCTCCCCATTTCGATTCGTCGAAGAAGTACCCTCTGCTCCTTGATGTGTAAGTCTTCAAGTTACATGGCAATGTTGTGTTAATAATCACTTTCATTTACTTCAAATGCTCTTAATAAGATTGGGAAACACAAAACGGCATGTTTTCTAATTACTTCTTGACGTAGCTTTAAGAGGGAATGAAAAAATGAGGTGTATCCCAATTTGTGATAGATTCCTGTACTATAAGATGATGTAATGCTTAACAAGCACATATTTTGCTGGTGGCAGCGAGGCAGATACAGAATGTATCTGATGTAAAAGCCAGGATGTTAGCATTAGCTTACCTCCTTCTCTGCTATTAGAGTTCCTTAGGAATAATATTCGATGGAATTACATTCCAGAATGAAACCATGTATAAGCCGTGTGCCCTAAAGCTGAAGTAGTGAGTGTGACGTTGCATTTTCTCTGATATTTGACTGTCAGTTGGTGTTGGCAAACTGCATCCTACGGTCAGGATTGCATTTGCTGTTTTTTCATAATTCAAGACCATGAGCACGTGCTGTTTGGTCCATTCTTCCTCAAGCACTTCTGTTCATGCTGGTATGTTTTCTTCTAACTGGAAATTACTGAAATTTAGCTATTCATTAAAATAGAAATATTAACCTTTTCCTCTTTTTACAAAAAGCTGACTCCACAAGGAAACTAGCTGTTAATTGTTAGATACATCTTTATATAATGCAATTTGGTAGCACTGTAATACTTTTTGATATGCCTATTGAACGTTTTAATGAGCAGTCAGTGCTCTTTGCTTGTTAAAACTTATTTTGGTTTTGATTCCATTTTTATTGACTTACCTGGGCCTTTGTCAGATCACCTCTGCTTTGTGGTGATCTTGATACCAGAAATTCCTTCAGCAGTGTCAGGATCCATAGTGTATAGAAACAAAGCTTGATATAGAGAATTCCTAGTAGTTTTTTCTTCACTTTTAAAACTGGGAAAAATGGGTTATAGAGCCATAAGAGCCATTCTTCCATTTCTTACTCTGTCGAACAGTGGCTAGAGAAGTGCACTGCAAGCGGAATTTTACCATCCAGGCACTTAGCGTGTGATTTCGTAGTGCTCAAGTGCTTCCGAATATTTTAAAATAAAAAGTTACAATTACAGCTTTGCTTCCTTTTTCTTAGCCTGCTTAAGAAATAGTTTAAACTGTAGGGAACACTGATGAGACACTAAAAATGCAGAAAAATATTTTTTTCATTTTCCCAAATGAAGACTATTTGTTGATTTCAGACTGTAACCAAATAAATCATGGGTAAGTGGAACAGAAATAGTTAAAGAGCATCACTTTAAAACTTAGATGACTAGATATGCCAACACAAAAAAGAATTTGCTTTGGATTTCTGATAAGCTGCTTAAAGTCAAAATAATGAAAGTTTCTTATTAGAGCAGAAAGCAATAAAACAAATAAAATCCAGTCTGCTTTCTTGATTAACAGTTGACGTTTTTAAAAAGGCATATTGCTTTTAGCGTCCAGGTGAAGCAGCAGTTTGGAGTCAGTCAGGGATGCTTTTCTTGTTTGCTCAGTTTAATTTAAAAGTTTACCCTTCTTTAGTGGCTGAAAATTGTCAGCAATAATTATATTTCAGATGTTTGATGTGAGAATACACGGAGACTAAATGCCTGAATTCTGTGGCACTTTTCACCCAGGTACGCAGGACCCTGTAGTCAGAAAGTAGATTATACCTTCCAAATCAGCTGGGCTACTTACCTTGCAAGCACCGAGCAGATCATTGTGGCCAGCTTTGATGGCAGGGGAAGTGGATACCAAGGGGATGAAATTCTGCACGCAATAAACCGAAGGCTGGGAACATACGAAGTGGAAGATCAGATAGAAGCTGCCAGGTGAGCTACAAAGAAATGATCAACACCTGCTCCTTCTTTTCTGTGCATATTGTGTTGGGGAAAAAAAGGTGAAGGTTTTGAATGGTCATCTTGAAATTGCTGGCAAAAGCATAACTAAATTCTACATGAATTTTGTATGCTGAAGTGTGTCATTTATGGGCCGACCATCATTTTATGCTTAAAAAGAGAGAAGCCTTAATGCTCTAATAACAAATTTACTATGCCCCTGGTTTTATAGAGATGATAGCTGTCACATTAGTAGAAGAGCATGCTACCAAGGAACTTGGAGCTGCAAGTTTTACTCCAAGCTTTTTGCAAGTTTCTGTCGTGACAGAGTTATTTGTATGAACTACTCAGCCTTTACATCATAGTTCATCTTCGTCACTTGGTTTATGCTTGTAGAACCTCGCTAAACTGAACGATGTCAGTATGAATCTCTCAGAATCACAAAAAAGTGATCTTAGGGGGTTTGCTTTTGGGGATTTTAAAATGTTAAGGAGTTTAAACAAATAGCATTTCAGAATCTTTTTTTTTAAACCCTGACTGGATTTATAGGTGCCAGCCTGTCCCTTACTGCTGCAGTTTGAGTGTTGCTCCTCTTTTTTAAAATTAAAAAAAAAAAAAAAGAAAAAAGCAGGTGGTGAAATCTAACCTAATACAATACAAATGTCAGTGAGTGTGGTTTGAGGGCTTTTACAGACCATCCAGGTTTTGGTTTTTCATATGCACAGATGTTTTTCTGAATTTGTTAAATACACACATGCCTGAAGTATTGTATGTTCTCATATGCAGTCACTGTGATGAGGTGGGAAATGCTTATTTGTACAACAGAAAGAGGCAGACATGATGGAAAATAGGCATGTCTGTATAATGGCAGATACTTGCAATCTATTAAGCATTTAATTATTCTGTTTGCTTTTAGAAAATTTTCTGAAATGAGCTTTGTTGATAAGGACAGAATAGCTATTTGGGGTTGGGTAAGTACTCAAATAAGTTTGGCTGGCTTATTTAATTCTAACAACTATTTGTTGTGCTGCTGTGTGTGTGAGGTGCTGGAGTACTTAGTGTGAGGCACCTCTGGGGTCATGGCACAGTTCAATAACTGAACTGGTGAAGTACATCTTGCAAGTGCCTTGTCCCTTTTCAGGAGCCTTGGAAACAGAAATTAGGACTACTAGAGGGATTCAAAAGAATTTAGAGGGATACTGCCAAGTTCCTATATACAAGATGAACCAACATTTAAAAAAAAAAATCCAAGTATATATTCAGTAGTGTCTCTTTGTATTAGTTGGATGACTAATTAAAAAAAAAAAAAAAAAGTAAAACTACATGTGAACCAGCTGTGTGGCATGGTGGTTGTGTTTTTACTAGCAGCCTGAAAATATCTACATCTGCTATATTGTTGTGCTTGGCTGTATTTTATTTCAGCAGTACTTCCAACCAGAGGCCAGATTTCGCTGACTTTGATGTGTCTTTAAAACCTGTCACAGTAGAGGGGAGTGTTTAATAGCATATACATACCCCTCAGCTGCAAGGCTAAGTGCGTATGTAGTGTTAGGGATATCGGTTTGATTCAAACTCTGAACATTTCTCTGTCCCAGGCTGCTGTTTCACTGTTTTTTCTGGTGTCACGGGGAGTATTCTTGCATGCTCTGTTTAAGCGAACTATGTTTCAGTATATGCAGGATTGCATGCAGGATCTTGAATTAAATTGCTAGCTGAAATGTGGTCACTGCTGGTGACAGGCACCAGTGAATAAATTGCTTGATGACAAGATGATGATGCTGGTGCCTTTGATAGCTTCTCTTGTGTGGATAAACATATCTGTGTTGTATGAAGTCAAGGGTAGTAGTATTAACTTTAGTGGGAGCGCAATTCTTTCTACAGAAATGGAGGACTTAATGCATTCCCATCTTACTCCTTATGAGCCTCAGGTTGAACAGCTGAAGAGCACGCCTCTTCGGAGCTAGGTTGGGGTTATGCATCCTGGATACCGAACCTGTGGGCAAACAGATTTTCTTTATCTCTTGAGTTTTCAGGTTGTCAGCGTCTCATTGTCAGCCTGTCACTGTGTACATTAATTTTGTTTGCTGTAGGTTCGGCAGTAATACCTTTACTGCGGCCAGGTTAGGCAACATACTTATATATGGGTTTAATTACTAAGTACGTGCGTTGCTTTGCTGATCTTATTGGGAGGACCTAAATATTGACGTTGGAGAAAAAACTTAACGGCTTTGAACTAAGATACAGCTCCATTTGCCTGTAATCTGGTTTCAAGACAGGAACGAGATCCAAAAATTGCTCTTCTTTTTGAATGTGGGTGGGCACATTTTCCTAAATAACCCCTTCAGACTATGGTGAGGGCAGTCACTTGGGCAGTTGGTGACATTGTTTAGGTATCTTGCTGCCTGGATGCTCGAGTATGTCAGATATTTACTCATCTGTGTATCAGGCTAGGCTGCGAGTGAATTTTCTGTGCATAGCAAGGAGCGTGTTGCTGCACAGTTCCTCCCACAGACTCAGCAGAAGATCCTTCGCTCCCCAGTCGCAGTCTTGCTCTCGACGCTTTGGAGGAGAGTTAGCAAGTGAGCTGCCGTAGGCCTGCTCTGAGGGAGTTGTAAATTTTCGGATGCCCTGGTGCAACTACTCATCGGGCGCGCTGTGGGCCCGAGCGCTGCTTCCACCCACTCCCCCAGCACGGAGAGGGACGCAGCGGCTCAGCAGTGTCTTGTTTCCTGTCTTTCGCTGCTGCCCACGGTGCTACCAAACGCTGTCATCCTTCGCTGAGTCACGGGTCAGCGGCGTTTGCGCCCCTTTTCCCCAGCAAGTTCTCATTCATCAGCGCCGCAGCTGCCATGCGCTGTTTGATGCCTCTTTCCCCCACTGAGCAGGCTGGGTGAGATCTGACCCAAATTCAGAATGGAGTTCATTAATATGAAAAACGCTGAGCCTATAAATGTCTGATGAACTGTTTAGCAGATGGGCCCCATCCTTTTCTTCCCGACTAAAATAACAGCAATGTTTTCTTCTCAGTCTTATGGGGGATATGTGACCTCCATGGTGCTTGGCTCTGGAAGCGGCGTGTTCAAGTGTGGAATAGCGGTTGCCCCCGTGTCACGTTGGCAATATTATGGTACGTGATGGCTTCCTCGTTACAAGGATTCCCATATGTCTTGCAGTGCACATGCTGCAAAGTGTTGATTCATAGCGCAGAACTTTGATTATCTACTAGATGCCATGTAAATGCCACTTGGTCTGTTTTTATGAACTGACGGGTATTGCATTTCAGAATTAAACCAATTCCCTAAATTTTATTTCCCATTTTAAAAAGCCAGATCCACCATTCCAGGTAATCTCTTTAACATTTAATGAAGGCTAAATTATTGTAATATTTGTAGTATTACTGTAACGTGTCTGTGCTTGCTTTCCAAACTGCCACATGTTCCGAGACCAGTACTGTGTGTCAGAAATCCACCACTATTAGACTTTGCTTCTTCAAAATGTGACTTCACTTATAAGAACGAACTGTGAGGCTTAACATCGAACTTGCATTGTAATTTACTCTCTCAAAGTAACAGAATAGGATTTGAATTGCCTGCGGGTTTTTTTTCCTTTTAGAGTGTAAAATTTGGATTTTATAATTAATCTTAAGAATAGTTTGATGTGAGGAAAACCTGAACAAGTGGACAAGTCTGTACGTGCTTCAAGCTTGTAGTGTGTAAGGTTGTAGTTGCATGAGGCTATAAATACAGTTACAGGGTCCCTCCTCCCAGATGAAAAAATTTATATATAGTTAAAAATATAATATGTGCTGGTACAATGTGACCACATTTTGACATTTTTCTGGTTTGGATTTGTCCAAAATCATTCAAAGGAAAGCTTTTCCTGGCAAACCTCTGCTAAATAAGGCGTAATTTATCATTCTGGATCTAGCACAGAGGCTGTATAATAGCGTATTACGTGCTCTGGCTAATTGAATAGATCAAGTTGTGCTGCCAGGTATTAGCAGTAGTCTGTTGAGGACGTAGGGATGTTTTCATAATGTTTTGGGCATGAAAGTTACAGTATGGCAGGAAATATTTTTTAATGAAGATCAGGATATCTAAAATTCCACTTTTAGTTGATTAGAAAAAGGGAAGGGTTACGGAGGCATGCATATTCAACATAAAAAAAAAAAACAGTGCGGCAATGCTGATGAGAAGTCAAATGGACATTAGAATATGGCAACAGAGCGTTGATTTGTGTGGCTTAATAAAGCAGCAAATCTGCAAAAAAAGTAATACGATACCATGCTGAAAAATCTGTGGAAAATCAGATATACTTATTTTTTACTATATATAACATAGAGCCAAGCTGAGTCCTAATCTACTGCTACGTTTTCATTTTATAGATTTTTAGTAGTAAACATTTAGATAAAATACCTAAGCTTTTTTCCAAATGCTAGTCATTCACTGCAAGATTTTCAGTAATTTTCTTAGGATTACTGAAAGAATAGCAGTAAGGTAACATTGACACAAAGTACTTTATTAATATTCAGCATTCAGGTGTCCATGGCAACAAGAAGATTAAATATTCTGAATAATGATGGTTACCTACACGCCTCGTTGTGGAAAGCCTGGGTTTATGTTTTGGTTTTGTTTTTTAATTTCCAGTATGCACTTATCATTTGTATCAGTGGGTAAAATTTCTGGTAGACAGACAGACCAAAAATTAAGTAGCATGTTCTGGTTTTGTTTTTTTTTTAATTACAGATTCAATATACACAGAGCGATACATGGGCCTTCCTATAGCAAGCGATAATCTGAACAACTATAACGTAAGAAAGAAATCACTTTATTTCATTTTTTTTGAAGTGTGTTGTTTCTTTTCTAAACCACTCTATTTTTCTTTATACAGTCTAGTTCCTTCCCCATGGGAAGAAATAAGTTTGTTTCTTCTTTCCAGCTATAACTGTTGCATTGTGCTTTTAGAGGCTGTAGTCTCATGCGTTTGGATTTGCATGAGGCAGTTACTCCTTGCTGTATGGTGTGGGTTTTCTGTTGTTTGTTTGGTGTGTTGGGGTTTTTTTTGGTTTTTTTTTTTACGTTCAGTTCCATTTGGCTACTTTGCAGGCTGTAAAACAAGCTGTAAAAACTGTTTTATTTTAATCACCAAGAAACAAATTTGTTTTAAAATTTAATATGCTCGTGGGCAAACTATGCCTTATCTTAAACAACATTTCCACCAAAACAAATGTACTCCAGTTCTTTCTGAAACGTAATTTAAAAAAAAAAAAAAAAAGGGTATTGTGTGAACTTTTCTTGCTTTAGGAATCTGCAAGCTTTTTTCAGGGAAAGCAAAATCTCCTGAATATTAGGAAACTTTGCCAGGTAGGCAAGTCTGTCTGAACTGTGATCGTATCAAACAAATTGCAGACCAGATGAGAGCCGGCAGTGTCGGGGCGGGAATTTTGGCCCCATCTCCACGAGTAGGTGGGTGTAGGGCAGAGCAGCCCAAGACTTCTGCAAGGTTTTGTTAAATTTCAGATCTAGGTGGAACGACCCAGTGGCTATTGGAGAGCTGTGAGGGATCCGAGGGGTACTTTGTGCCCTGGCTCTTGGGATGTTTCACAGGGTTGTGCAGCCATGGTGATGCTGGAACCAAACGTGGATGTCAGAGGAAAGAGACGGGGCATTTTCAGTGTTTGGGTTGGTAAATAGGCTAGAAGACAGTTTAGCACTGCTTGTGTCTTGATGCGTTAAAAAAGTAAGTGTCACGGGGGAAAAAAGGGTGGGGGTTGCTGCCTTGATTTAAAAGTACAGTAAAACATATAAATACATACAGATACGGACTGAAATGTCTGTTTTGATGTATCGCTACAGTAATCTAGTTTTGTCAACTGCTCTATCAGACGTTCTGGTCAAAATTGAGAACAACGGTAGTGACTGCTGGAAGACCTGGTACTGCCTCTCCTCCTCTAACCAGCGAGCTGCTCGGGCCCACCGGGGACTGCCCAGCCGCCTGCAGCCGCCCGCCTGCCTCTTCCCAAATGCGTTTCTTTAAGGCAGAGGGAACAGTAGGAGGTCTGCGAGGTAGCAGTGTAAATAGAAGTTACTGTCGTAGTGCAGAACGAACGTTAACGCTCTGGGTGCACAAAGTCATTCACCAGCTTCACGGCACAGATGGCAACAGAGGACTGTTTAATCCTTTCAAGCCAGGAGTCGGATTTTCTTGGCATAGGATCCATTGCTGGCAATGGCCACGTTGAAACTGCCAGTACCAAAGAGCTAAAGGTTTTAAATGTGTTACTCAGAGGACTAATTGGGGAGAATGGTGGCTAGATGGAGGAGGGGTAATTGCAGAGATCAGATTGTCACATTTCACTGCTGCTTCTAGAGATAAGAAAATGCAACTTAAGTCCTCGTTCGTTGTTAGAAGCCCCGAATAATGTATTACTTGGAATTTACTTTTCCGTATAAACCTGGAGGGGTGGGGTAGCTCAAGAAGTGAGTTTGTTGCTTTTCATGTAGCATCAAATGTGGGATTTTGTTGTCGCTGAAGACCCTTACTGACTCCAGCCCAGGCTGTTCCTGGCTTACAGCCCCTTTGTTCAGTGTCCCAGTCCCAGTCGCCAGCCTCCTGGCCCCTCAGCGCTGATGAGAGCTGTTTTCTGAACTGAATGTTGTTTAGCAAGTAAGTGCAAAACATGTACTGAAAGCTCTCCTAGCTGAAGCTGCTAAAGCGTTTGTGAACTGTTAACTTCATACTGTCAGGTTTGCATGCTGCATCATATAGTCTCTATCCTACTGCATCCGCTATGAAGCTGGCTTGAAAAGGGAAAGGTTGAATAAACTCTGTGCTTACTGTGTGCCCTAATTTAAAAGAAATGGGACTGTGTAGACAGCTGCTTAGGGAAGAGGCGTGCTGCTAGGCGCCTTCCTAATGCGCAGAGTATTGGTAGTGACTGTGCCTCCCTAGTGTTGGAAGCGAGTTGCGGTGAGAGGGGTACACCCTACCTTTGTATTACTGTGAGACAGGGTTTCGCAGTTATTGAAGGAAGAGAATCCGAGATGTTAAACACTCTTTGTCAAGGGTCAGGTCTGAGGGATGACTCACACTCCTAAGGAGGCTAATTAAGTGTGATCAGTGCCTTTTAAGGTAGTTGTGAACTATTAAAAATCAGAGCTTTGTAAACGAAAGGCGCAAGCATGGGTGGAGCTCCCACTAGAATTGTATAGGGGTCCTCGGCTGAACGGCAGAGCAGCTGTCTGCCCAGGGAGAAATGTCCCTGATGTAAAAGACTTGAGACTAAATCAGGGCAGAGCTCTAGAGGTCAGATGCAGTAGCCATGTAAAGCATACCAAAGAGACTGTTCAACTTGTGAGAAGATTATTTTGCAGTTCACTCTGAATTTGATATGCTTTTGGCAAGTGTTTGAAACAGTCATAGATTTGGCAATCTTTTTCAAGCAGATTTGAAATGTTCAGTCCTTAAGAACTGCTGCATCATTAGGTTATGCAAAACAGGGTACAATTTTGTAAATATGCCATCTTGTACTGATTTGACATTTGTTCTATTATCTGAGAATATGCTAAAGGGAGAGAGACCTTCAGTTTCAGCCAAACCTTAACTTGTTTGTGGAGTGCTGATAAAATGTTGACTGCTGTGTGATCTTTAGAAAAGCCAGTTACACTCAGCAGGGCCTAATTCTCAGTAGTTGTACACATTACCTTTTCAGAACCTTTGTCCCGGCAGTGTAAGTAGAACAGAAGGGGTGAATTAAGTTGTATTTATTTGCTGTCCACCTGAGGTTTGTTGTAGCTGGTGCTTTATGCTGTAACTGTGCCTAGCTTCAGATTGCTCCCTAGCTTGCAACCTTCTTTTCTGGCAGAAGCACTGTGTCCTTAAAGCACGTTTGGGGGAAGGGACTCTTCATGTTGAGTATGGGTACAGCAAGTGAGACATCACTTGCAAGTGACAAAAAAAGCCCTGAGAAGGTCTCTCTTTTTTGTGTGTTCCTTCTTTCTGAAGTATTTTACAAATAGCTTTGCTTAATGCCCGGAGGGGAAAAGAGTGACATCCTTTTTTCTAAAACTGCTTTTGGAAAGTTGAGGTCTCAGAAGCATAGCTCAAGTCAGGCTTCCACTCACTGGTTTGTTGTCCTTTAAACCAGCACTGATTTGCTGGAAGAAAGCTTATAAAGGTGCTCTAGCAAGTCCCCCTCTGCTCATATGGAAAATTATTCACTCAAAGGATATCACTTAGTTCTTTTTCTTTCCTTTTTTTTAATATCACTGGGCCATTACTTTCTGAATCGTTCTTTTGGTCGGCTGCTGTACCAGTGCTCCTCACTGAACCAAAGAAGTCCTCTCTCCAGATTCTGGCACTCGTAACTAGCTGTTCTTGCTCCACGATACCAGCTCAGTTCAATGGCTAGCGTCATGCTTCCAGTGTGCATGCATTTCCAGGTATTAGATGGGATTTCTGGGGCTCTGCAGCCTTTTACTATCAAAAGGCGGCAATTGCAATGTTATGGATTGGAGGGCGATTTTTTTCTCTCTGCTGAACTTGTTTTTTTAAATTTGGTTGAGTAACGACAAAGAACTCATTTCACTTACGAGAGGGTTGTGGTATGCTATTCTGCCATAACAAAAGGAATTTAATATTTATGCTTGCTTTAAAGATTCATGAGTGTACATAAGACATAAGGAAATTAAACACTTCTGTGTCTTGGTAATATAATGTATTTGACTTTTTGGGGGTATTAAATGCAAATCCCTGTGCAAGGATACAGCTTTAGTATAAGATGGGGGAAGAAAAAAAAAAAAAAAAAACAAAACCCCACACAAACTTTTTTTCTTTATTTTTTCTTTTTTTCTTTTTCTTTTTTGTTTGCTATTAAAAAAAAAAAAAAAAAAAAACCAAAACCCAGCACATACTTCTGTTCTTAATTTTTACTATTTTTTCCTTGCCGTAGTAGCTTTGAAGTTGCTGTAATATAGAGAAAACTTCCACAGGGTTTCAGTTATTTTCAGCAGAGAACCCCTATAATGTTGCTAATAGAAGGAAATGTCGTTCCACGTATTTTTGCCCCATGATGCTGGTTGTCTTGCTGACCCTAAAATGTCTTTTGTCCCTTTTCTTCTTCCCACTCTCACGGCAAAGCACTATCCTATCCCCTTTCCTTGCCCAAATTAAAGATCTCACCTGCAATCCTTGCTTCCCTCATTCTTCAGTACCTAGTCACAGTAGCAAGTCAGGTGGTTAGTATGTTCTAGGGACTGTGTTGTTACTACGTTTTCAATTTCTTAATTAATCTTTGTTGCTGATTATTTTTTTCATCACCGTATTGTGTTTCAATTCCCAAAACGTAGCTTGACTTCTATTTATAGATTTGGTCTAGTGGTTTTTTCCTTCAGGCATTTCGGTATTGGACTTGGGGGAGAGCATTGTTTTAAACTTCTTGTCAGGCATTTTTACTTCAGACTGACGAAATACAAGCTTTGGTGACTTACCTACAGGTACACTAGTGTACGTTTTGGTGGGGAAGGTAACGCGTGTGGTCTCTGCAATAGCTGCTCCTCGCCATCATAGGGTGCACTGTTGCCATGGCAACGTTTTTTTAACTTGTCTGCGGTTGCACAGGAAACCTATGGCAAGTGGCGTGCTGCAGGCTAACAACATGTTAGCAATGCATTAAATGTGTATCTCGCTCGCAAAACTCTTCCCCTCTGGAACTGCCCGTTACTTTGCAGACGTAACCCTTGGTAATAATTGCAGACCGGTGCGGAACGGTTTGAGTGGGAGCACAGTGCTGCTGGATATGTGAACGTGCTACGTGGGGGCGTGCGGGGAGCAGGGATGATTGTTCTTATCTGAAGGACCACAGACTGTGTCAACAGGAATCAAAGTCAGTTGGTAGCAAATCATCTTCTAACAAATAGCACCTTTTTTCTTTTTTTTTTTTCTTTTTTTTTCCCCTTTTTCTTTAATTTCAGAGTTCAACAGTAATGGCCAGAGCTGAAAAATTCAAGGAAGTTGAATATCTCCTTATTCATGGAACAGCAGATGGTGAGTTGCAGTTAATTAGACATTTTAGTATTACAGACAGGTTCGCAATTCTACTACTGACAAAACAAAAGCATGAAGGGGCAAGGCTGTTACATTTACGTCAATAAAATAATACTGCTTTCTGCAACTCATCTGTGTTTCAGTCAGCAGTGCTGGGGATTCTTCTGTGTTCGTTGTTTTGCTGGCAATGGTATGCTTCTGTTTTGTTTATCATCGTCATACAAATGAGTTTGTATTATGAGAAGAATAGCAAAAGCTCCCTGTTGTTAGGTATAAATCAATTGCCATCTCAAGTCAAAGTTCACATACTTGCATTTCATCTTCAGTAACTGAAATTTTAACGTAACGCACCCACGTATCTGCTGTACAAGGAAAAATGTAAAGCAACTCCTTCTCATATTTGATCCTGTTTACCTAATCTTTCATTTTGTGAATTTTTTTGTGTTCTTAGACAAACAGCCAGGCCAATCCCAATCTTTGCACATACCCAAAGTCCCATGAGTAGTATCTTCCAGATAGGATATAAGGAAAGGTTAACTTCAGCTAAGTCCGAGATAACCTGTCCATCTCTTGTGGTGTTTCTCTATTGAACTTGTAAGTCAAGTACTTATTTGCCCCTTCCTATGCTGTACATGGAAACTCTCAGACTAAGGTGCAAGCTCTTCCTTGCCTGCCTTCTCCCCTCCCTTGAGGCGCAGTGCTGAAAAGGATAAAATATAGAAGGAGGCTTTCTATATTTTAGTTGGTTGTCCTTCAGCCGATCTTGCAGGGCTTACAGGGTGCAGAGATCAGGCACCACTCTAAACTGAGGAGCTGCATCTACCATGCATGTGGATGAGCCCCATATCCATTTAGTACACGTTGAGCATGAATGGATGGTGTATCCATCCCACACACAAAGCAGGGAGGAAAGTATGATAGCAGCTGCCTACCACCATCATGTCTTTGCCTCCATGCTGAATTAGCCTCATGCTGGGATAATTTTAAATGTCTGCACATTTTACATCTTACCATATTTGATTCATATCATTAAAATGTAGCCAGAACTAACATTCTCTGTATTTTTCTTTCCCACAGTGGTACACCGACAAAGACCATGCCATCACCGGTCAAGCACATAAGCATATTTATACCCATATGAGCCATTTCATAAAGCAGTGTTTCTCGCTGCCCTAGCACCACCATTTTGGTCATTAGTGATGGCACTTCTCCAGAAAACCCGCTAGCTAATGTACACTGAGCCAGTATAAATTTTTATCAATCAGGATGAAATAAGGGTCAGTTCTTGGGATACCTGTGTACACAATGAAATGCTAATCTTTATAATGATTTCTGTTGCCAAGCAACTCTTGCATTTTTATTGATTGTGTTTAATCAGGTCTTAACATCACCAGAATGTAGGTATGTTGCAGACTTCTAGAAAGCATGGTACTTGCGTGAATCAGTACCTTTTGATATTTCAGTCTGAAAGAGAAACGGTCCAGTTTCTGTATTAGGGTAATGACTGATGAAAATGTCACAGAGGAACCAACGTCGAGATCAGTTGAGGAATAAAGCTAATAACGTTTCCAACAAAAAAAACAAAACAAAACAAAACAAAAAAACAAACCCTGTGATCATTTCTGTGAAAATGCTGATAAAACTTTCAACAGATTTTGCAGAAATTACCTAATGCTTGATCAACTATTATTTTACAAACAGTCTCAGGAACACTGCAGTGTTAATATTGTCTATGCAGAGTGAAACACTTTGCTTACTGCAGTTCCTTGGGTTAGTATTTTCTCTGCAATCTCTTGGATTACAATTGTAGAAGTCTTGCAAGGAAAGCACGTAACCAGCTTTCACCAAAGATTTTGCATGATACCTATTCAAACCTATGGCACTGAATTTGTTTCCTACATAGTACTGTGATTTTTGCTTACTTTATAGTCAAAAAGGCTGCTACCGTGGGAATCTGCACTGGTAGAATCTTATCTGGGACCTTCAG